TACAGGACAACATTTTAGTTGCCTTTGACCACCCTCCCCCCCCTCCACCCTACCACACCTGACAATGTTCCCACTCTTTTGCTCCTTCCTGAGCTTTGCTTTGAAAAAACTACCCCCTTTCTTTTTTTACAGAAAGATCCAATTCTAGGGCAACTGAGCAGATGCCGTTGATCTTAACTTTCTCCAAGCACAGCAACCACCACCAAGTATGACTCCACAGAATAGCAAAGCAAATAGCAGGAAAGTCACTGCACAATTATTGTAAAGTATTAAAGTGGTTTTAAAGTATTGAAACGTTATTACCATGAAAAGCAGTTCAGAAAGATATTGCAAAAGCAGATTTTAAGTAGGCACACAGATATGTTCTGTACATCTTAGGTGACTGCGCCTAACATACTGGGGTTTTCCTTTCCCAAGGACTATTTCCATGCCTACAAATTTTACAATAATTAACACTGGTAAAATGTCTAAAGGGGTGCAATTATTAAGACAGGTTCATTATCCGCACTACCTAAGCCCTTATCTAGCTTTGTGAAGGCCAAAGATAGCCAACTTTGTGCAGCAGTACTCTGCCACTAATCTTTAAATTGGATATTACTTTAGATTCCATTATTCAGCTACTAGAAAAACAAAGTATGAACTAGATTAACAGTATTAAATGATTAAGCAATAGCTCCTCATTTTGCCTCTCTCAAAAGATGCAGATGCAAGCTATCAGATGGTAGGTAGGAACCTAAAACAGTTTGATGATTTAAAGATTTTTTTTTTTTTGTTAAGATCAACATTTAGAGAGGCAATTGTGTCTTTTCCAAGAACCTTAACTACAGAAATAAAAGGAAATAGTATAAAGTATATAGGCCTCAAAATAATTTCAAGTAAAAAAGAAATTCCAGAAAACAAACAAACAAAATGCAAAAGGCCACGCAGATGACAACTGGTTAGAGAAAATGAAAATCCTTAATGAACAGCCAGTCAAGCAGCTGTACTCGAAATTAGTTTGCTCGCCATTTCCAACATCCGATGAAAGCCATGTTAAGTGTAATTAACAACAAAGAAACCACAAATTTACAGATTTTACAGTTCTTAAACACGCAGACTGTCACAAAAAATAAATTACCTATATGTAATCTATTGGGTGCTAGTGTTCACATGCAATTGATTATAAACCTTCAATTTAAAATAAAGGAGATGACCCATCACTTTCTAACCATTCCCATTCTTTTCTCCATGTATTAGTTTCTCCTAGGCGTTACATTACATTATGCTTTACAGGAGCATGCGTGAGGTGTGTATGCTTCTTCAAGTTAACCATTTTGTAATTTCACTCCTGAATCCTTGACTGTCAGGACCCAGCAGTAAATCCTATGATTCTCTGCCACAAACCCTTGCCTCCAACTCACGCCCCTATAGCATTCCTTTGGTATCTGAGCTCTGCTCGACAGCAAGACAGAAGGTCAACTGGAACAGCAGGGAAGGCGTAGGAGCAAGTGTTACGCTCCAGTCTAGACAGACTTTCAGAAGGATTTGACCAAGTATCAGAGGAACCCATTATCTTAAAAAAGAAAAAAAGTCACGCAGAATTTTCAAAGGCCTGCTACTTAATGACTACAACTAAGTAGCTCCAAAGCGTATTTAAAGTACAAAAATAGAAAAATATCTGTAGAAATACCAGTTAACTACACAATGTAAATGCACGTCCTGCAATTTCAAACGGGTCTTAGTTTTAGTTTGTGGAAACTGTAAGGCTAGCTCCTCACTGACAACTTAGCTTCCTTCAGAAAACTCTTGCTACAGACAGAACTCGGCAGAACACCCACCTCACAGGCATTCGGTCGGCCTGCCATCGTGCAGAAACACAGCAGGTTTCCTTACCAGCGCAGAACCCCTGGAACCAATCCTCTCCCACCCCTCACAAACCCAGAAACCAAACAGCCCTCTCCCAGACCCCTCCGCCAAGAGTTACTCAGAGTTCCTACACGGCGTACTCAGTCGTTCCAGTGACTCCCTGGTAATTGGCTTGCAGTTTTGGTTTAAGGGCTGTGCCACAAACCGGTGTTAAGCAGCTGGGGATTAAACTTTGACACCGCAGCCCGTCGCCGCTGCGGAGCAGCCTGCGGCCCCGGCGAGGCGGGCAGCCGGGCTCGGCGGGGCTTTGAGGCGGAGGCCAAGGCCGGTACACAGATTTGGGGACAAAAGGCCACGCTGAGCGCACCGGCCCTCGGTAAATCTCAACCCTCGGCCCAAGCCCTTTAAACTGGAAGCTCCCGTAAACCGAGCTCAGAAGCGCTGGTCACCGGGCAAGCCGCCCGCGGGGCTGCGGGCCGGGCCCTGTCACCTCTCGGGGCCTCAGGACACGGGGCTGCTCTGGGAGCCGCAGCGGCTGGGCGAGGAAGGGCAGCC